GAAATGTGTGGCCGCACTATAGACGAACGTCGTCTATTTCAGACAGTCGAACTCAGTGAACGAGAAAGCAGTCGAATCAGATAAGGTGGCTTGTCCATGCCTTATGTTCGACATATGATATCGCGATACAAAAGGATCATCAGTCGGAATCATCACTGGCTTTAGTAATTGAGGTAAGTGTTTTAACGTTTTTACAATTCATACATACATGGTTTTAGGGTTTATAGAAAATTTTTGTTTTATATCCGCTGCGCAAACCCTAGAATCGATCTCATAGGAATTAGATTCGCTATAGAGATCCTAGGATTCTCTTCATACACATCCATCATATATCGCTTGATTCGCTACTTCCAACAAATCAAAAAACCTTTTTGATTCGTTGTTTGGTTATTCGTCTTCTTTGTTATCCCAAGACTGAGAAGGAAATGCATCTTGAACCATATCAACGTAACGGTTAGTTGGTTCGCTACTCCCAACAAATTTGTCGCTAATGGTAGGAACATTAACAACATCGAGTGTTTCACCGCGATAAACCCAAATATAATAATTTGGAATAAAACCCCTTCTGAATAGATGTTTTATAACCACATCTGGAGTAAAAAAATTTGGAATTCTCACATCGTGACATAGACAATATATTTTACCGGTTCTTATTCACTAATTCTGAATTATTTTAAATTGCATGAAATTCTGCAACCCTTATTCATATTGGATACTCAAATTTCCCGTAGATGCATTGATTCTCTTGTATAACCATATTCTAGAGTGATAAATATCACTTCTACTTGATATCATGTTGTATGTGAGATTTTAAGTTTTTTGAGGAGCGAAGAAGAATGGAGAAGGGAGAAGGGAGAAAATTATATAACATTATTTTGCAACGCGGTTTCGTTGCTAACAGAAGGTTTTGCAACGAAATTGCGTTGCAAAGTTAATAACCAATTAATAACATTGCGTTATATAACAACGCAATTTCGTTGCAAAACCTTTTGTGTTAGCAATGAAATTGCGTTGTTAAGTTATTTTGCAACGCAATTTCGTTGCTAACATGTGACAACACTGACATTTTGTTGCTATCTATACTTAGCAACGAAAACTTTGATGCTAATTTGCAACAAAATACATATCGTCGCAATTTCGTTGCAAAACGTTTGATATTTGCAATGAAATTTTCGTTGTGAATAGCAACGAAAGTTTTGCGTTGCAAATTCGTTGCAACTACGTTACAAATTTGTATTGCTTGCTAAGCGTTGCAAACTAGCAACGAAATTACGTTGCTAGTTTGCAACGAAATCTTGCGTTTCTAAGCGTTGCTAAAACGTTGCGAATTCATTGCTAAGTAATTTTATTGCAAAGCGTTGCTATTGCGTTGCAAAATTAGCAACGAAACCGATTCCGTTACAAATTTCGTTGCAAAAACACTGTTTTTTTTTTGTAGTGATTGATGTTTATGATATAGTGGATTTAATGGGTTAAATGGATTATCCACTTAATCTATGGGTTTAATGTGTTAAAACCTATTTAACCTATTTAAAAAAGCTAATCAAATGAGTTTACCTATTTGGATCAATAATCAGGTCGGGTTGGGTCAACCCGCATAAACCGATCCATTTTGACATCACTATCCTTATCTTACTAAATCCATTGTTAGTAATTTTCTTTTATAATTAGGAGATACCGCACGATACTCGGCTCATTTTTTTGTGTTGTTGTTAATTTAAAATGTTGACCTTTTTAACAAAAATTATATTATTAAATCATTATATATATATATATATGAAAAATGAATAAATGAAAGAGTTTAAATATCATTGCATAATTATGGGTATAAAATCATTCTTGTATATATGTTGAATAAGTTTGTCAATGTAATTTCATATATTTTTCATAATCAAATGCATACTTAGTCAATATAATTGTAATATATGTATATGAATAAATAAAATATTATTTATCTTCAAATCTTGCAATATTATAAACTAAAGATAAATGCAATATTGAACATAGTGTAATAAATAAGAATTAAAATACTAATATAAATATTTTCCCTTCTCTTCTAGATGTACGTACGCTATCTTTGTCATTATCGTATTTAAAAATAATTTATAAATTTGTTTAGTATAAAATTTTAAAAATTTGGATAATATAGTACGATTTTTTGTTAATTGATACTACGAATACCATATATAGTAAACATAAATTTTAATAATTAATTATTAATAATTACAATTAAGAAAATAGTGTAATTAAAGATAGTGGTTTATTTATGATATATTTGTAGTATGAAAAATAGAAAATATATTTTTTGTTTATTTTTTTATTTTTTGAAATATTGTTTAATTATTTTATTGACCTAATTTGTGGAGAAATTTTCTCCTTTACGTATTTGGAGATATGTTTTTGGATTTTATTCAAATTATCGCCTATAAGTTTATACACTAATTTCGAGCTCATAACAATAGGCAAAAGATAAAATCAGAATAAGTTTTAAATCTTGAGTCATAATCGGTTCACCCACCTACATAGAAACATTCTAATTGATTACAACAAAAAATACAATCAAAGGATTGAATTCAAAACCCAGAAATGCTAGGCAGTATCAATCAATAAGGAGATTAAAACAATAAGATTCATCATTTTGTTTATAAAAGTAATGAAAATTTTACTTTTTGCATAAAAATCATCAAAACATCCCGGAAAAAAATCATTGATTATATTTTTCAGATAGCGACAAATGATTCATTTTCTGTTTCAATGTTTTTGTCTCTGTATTTCTTTAATCGGAGAATCTCCACTCATTTAACATGAAAATGAGTGGATATATAAATATAGTTATCTTGATGTTTTCTTTAAAAGTAATGGCACTAGATGAGTTATATATACTTGACTCAAGTCGAGTTATATTTGACCGGAACGAGTCACTTCTTTGTACCAAAAACTCTGTTCTTTACGAAATACTAGTTAGGGATAAGGTATACCATAATCGGGTTGAACTAGCACACTATCAAACCAAACATATATTTTATTGGTCTATATTATATAATTTACGAATATATAATTGTTTATAATACATTTAATTATGAATCTCATTAGAGATTATTCCACTCAATTATTTACTCTAACATATATATAAAAAATTGCAGCAAAACCAACAGATTTTCAAAACTTTTAGGAGAAATTTTATCGAACACCTTACCTACAATATTATCTTAATAATCTCCATCATTTGTTTCACCTTTTTCTTCCTCCGTTTCTAAGCAGAAGAATAAAAAAACAGACAAAAGAATCAATTCGATCGGTAAAATAAAAGAAATTGAACGGAAAGAAATTACAAAGCGGAAGATCGAAAAAAGCTAAGATATCATTTTAGTGAATTGGAAGATAGCGAAAATGAGAGAATCGGATTTATATATATATATATATATATTCTCATGAGCGATTGCACATATGATATATAGACAAACAAATGTATTAAAAAAACTCTAGCAACTCATTTTAGTGAATTCAATCCTGGTTTGGACTTATAACCGGGAATCATCTTTTGACAAAAAAAAAATGATCGTGATCATCGAATTTTTCATGAGTCGATCTTTTAGATTTGATCTCAATCGTTCATTAATTAAATTCAACCTCGATGATTGATATTTGAGATTCAATCGTAACCGTCAATTCACCGTATTTGATTAACCAGTGATATCTATTAAAATATATTTTCAAAAATTATTATAATTGATTGAAAATTTTTAAAAAAAAAATTTGTTTTTTTTGTTTTGTTTTTTTTTTAAATTTTAAAATTTGAAGAGAATTAATTATTAATTACTTGCCAATTATTCTCCAACTTGAAATGGGCGTGATTCTATATCTCATCGTGGCTTGCAACTAGGAATAGATTGCCTATCCGTGAGAGGATGTTTAGATGGGGCTTGAATGTTCCACCGACTTGCATGTTGTGTGACTTGGAGCCAGAAATGACAGATCACTTATTTTTCAGCTGCCAATATTCTTCATCCATCTGGATAGCATTACTCATACACTCACATCTTCAGATTCAACACCACTCGACCCTGCTTGATCTCTTGAATTGGTTGTCCATGTGTTCTAGTGAGAAATATATTAAATTGATGACAATGTTGCTCTTTCAATGTGCACTCTACATTGTATGGAGGAGGGAGATGAATTGAAGACTGCATAACTCCACATCCAAACCGACAGAAGTTCTCGTGTGGGATATACATTTGCAGACTCGGAGAAGGTTTACGACAATTAGGAATGATTGAAAATGTTTGCATCCTGGAGAATCACTACTATCAATATGGTTTCGCTATTTTGATCCGCTGTAATTTTGGTTATATTAACTCTCTCATCTTGGGTATGATTTAAGTGTATGTTTATCGTTTGTACTGGAAAAGGATGATTTTATCCTTTTCTCTTTGTAAACACAATAAAACTATATATATTTATGGTTAACAAAAAAAAAAAAAACTAGACAGGGATTTGCATAGCTAACATGGCGAGCTTTGTTTGCCATACAGACGATGAAGACTTTCAAGGACTTGTTCAAGTGTCGGTACAATGCGACCGTACGTCTAGGCGCATTTTTCTAGCTACAAGAACAGTTTGGGTTATATTCGTTTATTATTTTCCTTCAAAAATTTTAAGTTTTAGTAAACCTATATTTTTATGTGAGATTTGATTCAATTCAATATCCACTCATATTCGATTTTTACTCAAAATTTTCAAAAGATAATTTCAGTTTTTTGTTTATTTTTATATTGGATTCCAATTCCTTTTTTCCAATTTTAGAAAGATTGTATCCATCTACTTTATATCCGATTCGATTTTCAAAAGATAATTTCAGTTTTTTGAGCTTCTAGAAAAATGCTGTCAATAAGCCCATATATATGGGCCTTTTGGGAATTGGCCCACCAATGTTTTTAAAAATCTTTCATGTTTTTAATTTCATTTTCGTCTGTGGATAATCAGGATTGGATATGAGAAGCACACGTAGCAGAACCGCGAGCAAGAACTTGAGCCTATGGCTTCCGTTTAATCATCCTCCAACTACGGAAATCGTCGACGAAGACCCTTCCTTTAAATTCTACCATCTTCTGTTTCGATTTATCATTTCTTGTTTCCGTCAGATTCCATACTCGAATCCTTGTTACACCCCCGATATATCCTCCCTGATTCTTCGGTGAAGGAGGCGAAAGAGGAGCTCTCATGGCGGCCACCGCTTCGAACTCGTTGTTGCTCTCCTCGAATTTCCTCGGAACCCATATCATAATTTCGGCTCCAACCCCGACGAAACACTCCTTCCCTCTCCAGTTCTTCTCCCGGAGAAGATACCAGATCACTCGATCTGCTTTGGGAAGGAAACCCAATTCATCCGATGCAAAACCCATGAAATCGCTCTCCTCCCAAGCCGCGTTAGCCGCGTTGCTGTTCTCTTCGGTGTCTCCGCGGGCGTCGGCTCTTGACGAGCCAGCAACGGTGTCTCCGCCGCCGATGGTAGTCGAAGCTCAGGCCGCGAAGCCGTCGCCAACGGCATCGTCGTTCGGACAAAACTTGGTGATGACAGCACCGAAGCCGCAGGCCCAGTCAGACCTTCCCGATGGCTCGCAATGGCGATACAGTGAGTTCCTGAACGCAGTGAAGAAAGGTAAAGTGGAGAGAGTGAGATTCAGCAAAGACGGCTCAGCCCTTCAGCTCACCGCCGTCGATGGACGTCGCGCCAACGTCACCGTCCCCAACGACCCCGATCTCATCGACATCTTGGCCATGAACGGAGTCGATATATCGGTGTCGGAGGGAGAATCCGGAAACGGGTTGTTCAACTTCATCGGAAACTTGCTTTTTCCGATCTTGGCTTTCGCCGGGTTGTTCTTCCTCTTCCGGAGATCTCAGGGAGGTCCCGGAGGTCCTGGGGGACTAGGGGGTCCAATGGATTTCGGACGATCGAAGTCGAAGTTCCAAGAAGTGCCGGAGACAGGAGTGTCATTCGCCGATGTTGCCGGAGCCGATCAAGCGAAGCTAGAGTTGCAAGAAGTGGTTGATTTCTTGAAGAACCCTGATAAGTACACGGCGTTAGGAGCTAAGATTCCCAAAGGGTGTTTGCTCGTGGGACCTCCGGGGACTGGGAAAACCCTATTGGCTCGAGCAGTGGCAGGGGAAGCGGGAGTGCCCTTCTTCTCCTGCGCGGCTTCGGAGTTTGTGGAGCTTTTCGTGGGTGTTGGTGCGTCTAGGGTTAGGGATTTGTTTGAGAAGGCGAAATCGAAAGCGCCATGCATTGTGTTCATTGATGAGATTGATGCTGTGGGGAGGCAGAGAGGAGCTGGACTTGGTGGAGGGAATGATGAGAGAGAGCAGACGATTAATCAGTTGTTGACGGAGATGGACGGATTCTCGGGGAACTCCGGTGTGATCGTGTTGGCCGCTACTAATAGACCTGACGTTCTTGATGCTGCGTTGCTTAGGCCGGGGAGGTTTGATAGGCAGGTCACTGTGGACAGGCCTGATGTTGCAGGCCGGGTCAGGATCCTTCAGGTTGTTAAATCCATTGGTTTTTGGTAGTTTAGATTCAATCAGGTGATATATAGTGTCAAATCCTGAGTAATGCGTAAAAAATTCTCGGGTATGGTTGGTTCTTGCAGGTGCATTCTAGAGGGAAGGCGCTTGCGAAAGATGTGGACTTTGACAAGATTGCGAGGAGAACACCTGGTTTTACGGGTGCTGATTTGCAGAACCTGATGAATGAAGCGGCCATTCTTGCGGCTAGACGTGACCTTAAGGAGATAAGTAAGGACGAAATATCTGATGCTCTCGAGAGGATCATCGCTGGACCTGAGAAAAAGAATGCAGTCGTATCTGATGAGAAGAAGAAACTAGTTGCCTACCACGGTTACAACACTAATCTAATATTAAAGCTTTTTCTCTAGGTTAGGTGGTAGAAGCTTGGTTTCATGTCTGTGGATTTGAATTTGCAGAGGCTGGACACGCTCTAGTAGGTGCATTAATGCCGGAGTATGATCCTGTGGCCAAGATATCCATCATTCCTCGTGGCCAGGCCGGTGGGCTCACCTTTTTTGCGCCGAGCGAAGAGAGACTCGAGTCTGGATTGTACAGCAGGAGCTACCTCGAGAACCAGATGTCTGTTGCACTTGGTGGAAGGTCGGATACTGCTAACTGAGTGATGCACAAAAAACCTAGTTCTGATATTACAAACACGAGGGTTCATCAATGGCTCCGTGTGTTGTTGCAGGATTGCAGAGGAGGTTATCTTTGGTGAGGACAATGTGACAACAGGAGCATCAAACGACTTTATGCAAGTCTCTCGGGTGGCACGTCAGATGGTCGAGAGATTCGGGTTCAGCAAAAAGATTGGCCAAGTTGCCATTGGCGGCTCGGGTGGAAACCCCTTCTTGGGTCAACAAGTAACTAAAAAACTTGATTCTTACTGTTTGACTGGTGAGATCAGAGGTTGCACTGGCGCATAACCGTGGTATCGTTCTTTTTCTATCAGATGTCTTCACAGAAGGATTACTCGATGGCAACTGCGGATGTGGTGGATGCCGAGGTACGTGAACTAGTGGAGAGAGCGTACGCAAGGGCCAAGCAGATCATTACAACTCACATCGACATCCTCCACAAGCTTGCTCAGCTTCTCATAGAGAAAGAAACCGTCGATGGAGAGGAGTTCATGAGTCTCTTCATCGATGGAAAAGCCGAGTTGTTCGTTTCTTGATTCTAGCTAACCCAGAAATCTGCAGTGCCAAGGCTTGTAATACGGTTAGCTTCATGTGCACTGATATACTCACGTCGATATAGGTGTAATATTCATTTTATTTTTGACAAATACAAGACGAAGACTTCCTTAATGTCTGTGAATTATCTGATGTTCGAGCTTGAGTAAGGTTTCTTTAGCTTATAAGCCTCTTGTCTTCGAGGTCAGAGGCCCCGTTCAGCATGTGTTCCGAGTCCTCGAGCATGTTCCAGTTTGGCTAGAGCCACGACTTGCAGGTAGAACGCGGTTGGCCAGTCGGGATAGATACACTGTGTTTGCATCGCATCTCGTAATGCAGCGCCTCGTTCGTCACAAAATAGACGGCACAAGCATCTTCGGGCATAAACAGTTGGAGAAAGCATGATTCGTGTCTCTATGAACTGTGAAAAACCCGATTTTATGAGATGATGACTGTCATCTATTGACAACGTCCATAATAGGACGTACCTTCTCTATAGCAGGTTTGAAGTCTCCGGTTCGGAGAGCTGAGTCGCCTCGCTGTCTGGTGTCCCACATCTTTTATTTGTTGAGCCCACTGTTGGAAAGAGAGCTGATGAACAAGGCAATGATCCGTCAACACAGAGAATATTCGTAAACCGGTTTCAGGGTGCTCCGGTTATTGCCTCGCATGTTCCCTCATCATCTGTATATTCAGTTGTTTCGAGAATCTGGAGAAGGGCAGTGAGGTCCATGCGTGAACAGGCTTCGTATATTGAAGAATTTGAACGTTTTGAAGAAAAACGGTGCCAGAGGTAAGACATCCCCCTATTGCCATCTCGGTTTGGTATATCGGTCGAGATCGAATCTCTCCCATTGACACAGGCCTAAACATAGCTCACAACAACGGATTTACATGAAATACGTATACGAATTGCTGTGAGATCTATGTTATCGGATATAGAAACCCATCTTAAAAGGCAAAACAGACGTGTATGTACTAACAAGAACATGGCCCATGCAAATAATGTGTAGCTGTTTTTTTTTTTGTTGTTGTGAAAGGACAGTATCAGAGTAGGAATTTGTAAGCACTGGGTGTGAAGATGGCTTATATCCTGTTTGTGTTGAATGGGGGTGGCTATAGAAACGATATCTTTGTTGAAATAGAAACAAAATATGGAGATTTGATATGATTGATAATAATTAAAGGCAAAATATATATCGTGATAATTATATTTTGCCTTTAATTATTATCAATCATATCAAATCTCCATATTTTGTTTCTATTTCAACAATCTTGATGTCTGGTCGGTCCCGGGGTTCATTTGGAAGCAAGATCAAACCAGAAGCAGCTTCTTCCTGCGGATACTTTGCTTCTAGATCAAGACAAGTATGTTTTGCTTTTGAATCGAATCAAGAGCCTACAAAATGGATCTGCTGGTTCTAAACATGCGAGTATCGATCAAATGCCGAACGATCTATTCGACATGACCTGGAGGGATGTGTTTCGCACTGAGAAGGTCCCAAAACTAAAGATGACACTTTCTGGGAGTAAAGTCCCCACAAGTTAAATAACCATCATTTGCCAAAACAAATGGAGATGGATGCACTTTCATTGTTCACATGAAAGCAAGAATTACGCTCTCTGGAAATGCAAGTAAAAATGATCGACAAAACGCCAAGATAAAGGAAGAACACCGGAAGATAAACTTTACCATTTTTAAGAAATTCATTTGGTGTGTATAGGCAAGATTTGAGCTGAAATATCACCCATCTTTGTTGTTTTCGATCAACCCATAACCTCAAAGCCGGGGATTACCATGCTTGCCAAAAACCAACAAAAAGCGAACAGTTTACTCCTAGATTAGAACTTTGCACCAGATCTGTAGTTTCTCCCTCTAGTTCTCTAAATCGATAGAAGAAATCACACTCTATTCAACAACAAAGGAAAGAACTGTTGGATCTGGGTTTATTTGATAGAATCAAAACATGTCTAGCCCGTGAGAAGTCCGATTCGTGGAATCCGTATGGATTTAAGCATCATGACTGGTGAAAAGGTTTCATCATAGTCTATACCATGAATTTGCCGACACCCTTTCGCGACGAGTCGTGCCTTGTAGGTATACACGTGCCATCCATGTTGGTTTTCTTCTTGAAAACCGACTTACATCCAATGGTCTTAATACCATCGAATGAGTCTACCAAAGTCCATACTTTGTTGTCGTTCATGGATTGCATCTCAGACTAGGGGTGGGCATCCGGTTCGGGTTAATCGGGTTCGGGTAAAACCGAACCGATTAATCGGGTTTCGGATCGGTTCGGGTTTTGATTAAATATCCGATCGGTTAGTATATCTCCACACCCGATCGGATCGGTTCGGTTCGGGTAAATAACCGATCGGGTTCGGTTATCCAATTAAACCGAAATAAATTAAAATTTGTGATAATTAATTAGGGTTAGGGTCTTTAATCTGTTGTCTCCTTCGACTGAATCGAGTCTCGAGCTCGACTTCTCCTCTGCAACCTCCCTGTCCCTGTGTTGAGTTTCTGCTCCGGCCAGCTCCGGCCAGCGCCGCCAAGCTCCTCCGTTGCGAGACCCTCTGCTTCCTTGTTTCCAGTGTCTGTTCAAACGCGGGCCGAGATTCTCCATCGAAGTCGAGGCCTGAGCTTGTCTTCTTCGTCGAGCTGAGTCGTCGAGGCTTGGGCTTCTCTCCGTCGAGCTGAGTCTTCGTTTCTCCTCGCCGACGAGGTCTGAGTTTCTCTTTTCCGCTAAAGTCTGGGATTCTCCTGTCCGTCGAGCACTGAACCTCTGTTTTGCGTTGTCGGTAGCTTCTTCGTCTGAGGTTCGTTGTTTTTCTCTCTGCTTCGTGACTAGTTCTAGGCTGTAGCATCACCTTCTTCTCCTGCTCTTTTCTTCTTTTTCTCTGTGGTTCCAGGTTCGTGTGAGCTTCGGGTTCAACCTTCTTCCACCTCTCTTAGCTTCGTCTTCTCTCTGGTTCGTGACTTCGTGTGAGCTTTGTGTGACTGATTTTATCTCTGATTCGTGTGAGCTTCTGCCTGAGTCCTCTCTTGGTCTGCTTTCTGGTTCCTGTCTATGTTGTCTGTTTAGTATGAGGTTTGTCTGTGTTAATATGTTGTTTGTTTCGTGTTGTTTCTGTGTCTGTATTAATTTTGTATTGTGTTTTAGATTGTCAATAGATGGATAATCCAAATTCGGAGATGGTTAAAATTGGAGAATCGGCTGGAGATAAGAGAAAAGAACCACCTTCAAATTCGGAACTACCTCCGAAACCAAAGAGGCTAGTTCCAGCGAGATTAGAGGTATGGCATCACTTTACCAAACTTCCCGATAACCCAAAGAAGTGCTCTTGCAATTATTGCGGTGTTGTGTTGACGGGCTGTTCATCAATGGGTACAAGCAGTTTAAAAAATCATATTCAGAAAACTTGCAAAGTTTATAAGAATCTCTCTGAAAGCGATTGTCTAAAGATCTTAGGTAAAGATCTGTCCATCGGAGGAGATTCTAAACTTATTACTTTTGGGTTTAGTCAAGAGGCAGTTAGAAGAGCATTGGTTAGGATGATTATTATGGATGAACTGCCTTTTACATTTGTTGAAGGAGAAGGATTTAAACATTTCTGTAACATTGGATTGCCTTCATTTGTGATTCATTCAAGAAGAACAGTGACAAGAGAAGTTTATCAGTTATTCTTGAATGAGAAGGCTTCTTTGAAGAATTTGTTGAATGAGAACAAGCAAAGGGTGTCTTTTACTACAGATATTTGGACATCGATAACAACAATGAGTTACATGGTTATCATTGCGCATTTTATCGATAGAAGCTGGCGTTTGCATAGAAAAATTATCAGTTTCAGCCCTATATCGAACCATAAGGGAGAGACCATTGCAAGAGAATTTGTGAAATGTTTGGTAGATTGGGGTATCGATAAGGTTTTCGCCATTACCGTTGATAGTGCTAGCGCAAATGATTGTGCTTTGAGGCTTTTGAAAAACCGGTTGAATGCTTGGAGTGAAGATACTCTGGTGTTGAAAGGAGAGTTCATGCATTTGCGTTGTGGAGCACATGTTTTGAATTTGATTGTTAAAGAAGGGTTATCAGACATAGGAGATAGTGTGGCGAGCATTCGCAATGCTGTTAAGTATGTGAGGTCATCCGATTCAAGGTTGCAAGCATTTAAATGTCGAGTTGGAAGTGACAAATTTAACAGAGGAAGTTTGGTTTTGGATTGTGCGACACGTTGGAATTCGACTTTTCTTATGCTATCCTCCGCTTTGAAGTACAAAGAAGTATTTAAACGAATGGAAATGGAAGACAAACTCTATGAGGATTATTTTGGCGAAGATGATGACTCTAGAACCGGCAAGAAAAGGATTGGTCCTCCTTCAGAAAATGATTGGGAAAATGCTCATCGATTGGTACGATTCTTGAAGATTTTTTATGAATCGACTTTAGCATTTTCCTCTACTACAAGGGTTACTTCTACTTGCTGTTACAACGAGATTATAAAGATTGAAACGGTTCTTTCATCCTTGGCAAACAATTCCGATCACGAAATGAGCAAGATGGCAAAGATAATGAGGTTTAAGTTCGATAAGTATTGGGAAGGAACCGAAAGGATCAACAAATTATTGATTGTTGCATCTGTATTTGATCCAAGGAGTAAGATGAGTTTTGTAACTCATTGTTTTGACAAGATGTATGGTAAGGATAGTGCCAAAAGTGCCGACATGAAGAGGAGCATCATTGATGTGTTGCATAGGTTGTTTGTCTCTTATTACGAGTGGTACAAATACAAAACACCAAGTGGAGAAAGAGGTGAAGGTAGAAAATCATCCGCTGAGATGTTTGAATCGTCAAGTAGTATGAATGGTGTTGATATCGACATGGGTTTCGTATATGATGATGACCCTTTTGCTTCGTTTACTCAAATGATGGCAGATAAAGGGGAATCACCGAATGAATTGGATATTTATTTGATGGAAAAGGTCGAGGTGATGAAACCTAATAGCTTGGGTTGTGAATTTGATATTTTATCATGGTGGAAGACGGCCAATGGTAAATTTCCAATCTTGGCGGAAATGGCGAGAGATTTATTAGCATTTCCAGTCTCTACTGTTTCATCTGAGTCCGCGTTTA